CTAATGGTCTTGGAGTGCCCTTTAATATTATATATACAGTATTTTATTTAGCTCACTAGGCATGGATATAGTGAAAACAGTACCATGTTAATTACAAACTCAAGATAGCAACCGTGAATTTAAGGAAAAAAAATTGACTTACGTGTCTCTCTGTAACAGATTATTTCAGATGCTATAACCCCTTTTTTCACAGGGACAACGTCGTAGTGCCGATAATGTAATGCATGTATCGGGGTCTAATGGACAACACAGGACTGTTATTTGGAAATGTTTCACTGTGGCCTGACGCCTTACTTCAGAGACAAAGACCAAGCTTTACTACAAGGGGGAATGTTGGATCACGGCCAAATCGGACATACTCACCTGCACCATTTACACTCTTTGCTACAGCATGTCATTTAACACATTGGGCCTTCAGTGTAAGTGATACTCTGTGCAAAAAGATACCCTCCGAGTACTACACCTAGTGTGTTTCTCCATACTATGATATACTGTACTTGCTCAAACACAACAGGTTGCCATTGGAAATCAAGTGAACATGAGCTGAGGTAAAAATGTTGATAAACAATTGATTAGAAAAAGTACATTTTCATGCAAAAATAACTTATAAACTATATATGTTTGGGTTTAGGACTGACTAAACAAGAAATGTAAAGACTTTCAGAAACTGGGACAGACATTTTTTACATTTTGTAGAACGATTAATCTAGAAAATAAGCAGCGGCTTAATTAATAATACAAATGTGTCCTTATGGGACGGAGTGGCGCAGTGGGCTGTGCATTGATCATCAGATCAAGGGTGGCGTTGGGGACCTCCAGTTCCAAACCCGCCCCCACCGCCAAGGCGTCAGGCCGTTGTGTCCTCGGGCAAGACACTTCACCTGAATTTGCACCTGTGGGTATTGTCCACAGTACATGACCGTCACATGTGTGTAATGTGTATTTGTAAAGCGCTTTGAGCATCTGGAAAAGCGCCATAATAAATGTAAGGAATTATTATTATTATTATTATTATGTGCAGCCCTACACAATTATAATATAGGATGCTTATGCAGCTTCTTTGCTTTTTTTTTTTTTAATACGTGACTTTTTGCATCAAATCAACTTTGCAAAACAGAAATTCGATCGAGAAATCAGGTGTTTTATCAACAAAGCTGAAGTGATTTGTATGTTTTTGTGCGTGTTCAAACCAAAAATCATACTGTGTGTCTTTGAGCACTCCCAGTTTAATCTGTACCTCGCAGGGGAAAGCCCCGTCAAATGAAAAGGCTGACTTTCATAGCCTGGGGCCACTGCAGTCAGACAGGGATGAGCTGAAAAAGCAAAAGCACTTCAACTCTGATTAAACATTCATCAGTCAGAGGAATTAAATTCTTCACAGAGGTTCCCACCCATAAAATTAAGGGATCTTTGTCTGAAGAGGGAGAAACAGAGTGATTTTTGTGTGTGTTCCCAAATAGTCCCCAGAACTACTCACTCCTGTCTTGTCTCAACCTGAAAACCTGGCAGGTTGTGACTGTGCAGAGTAGGGTAATACATTCCTAGCATACCATGGGGTCAGGGGACTGGAAGAGCCAATAGGTGGCCAGCTGACTGCCCGGTCCCTCCTCCCAGCTCAAAGCGAGAACAAAAACAGCCCTCTCAGGAAAATCTCTCAGAGACCTTAATGGGTGTTTCAAAGAGAAGGGGGGAGTGGGGAAGTGAATACCCCGTACAAATTGGCCTCAGGTAGCTTTGAGATAATTCAGGTGGAGCCATTCCCCAAGAAAAAGCAATGTTGGCCTACAAATTGGTCCCCCCTGAAATCAAAAATGTTTTTTTAAATTGCTTCAGCTGAGACAAAATGCACTGCTAGATTCAGACTAATTCGATAATAGCCCCCATCTTAAGAGGTTAAGAAAAACGTTACTGCGCTCCCTTTATTGCAGAAGTGGGAGTAGAAAAACCCTCTCTCTTGACTTTCATCCTGGACTCTGTTTGACTCATGCATGCGCAAAGAACGGCCACTTTGTACAAGTTACGACTGGTTTATACGCAGAGTTCCTGCATTTTTCAAATATTCACTCTAGCTGCGATAATGAGGAAACATCTAACAAACAGCGCTGGGGTGCGGTGAGACAGATCTAGGGCCACAATAAAGCCAGACAACAGACAGCACTGTAAAACCAGCCCAAGTCAAACATGAGACTCACAATCAGCAAGTTGTGTTGTGTCTTTAGAATCACAGAGTATGTACACAACTACGTCTGGAGGTCTTTATTCACAGTGGTGGCTCCACAGATAACAGATAGTCTGTTTGAAAAGGAGATGCAGTAACATGGTCAAAAATGACAACAATCTTTCTTGAGAAATTCAAAAGTGAAAGTGACATTTAAGTTGCAGGAAGGTTGACATTCTCCATCTGAATCACAGGTCACAGTCACATCAAGAATGGGGTTGTCACATTTCTTTGTAATATTTTCCTGTCTCACTTCAGAAATAAACTGCACTGTTAAGGCACCACAACACACCAGGCAAGCAAATCTAGCAGCTAAGTGTTATTTGTTGCTTAACTTTTCCTGAAATGTAAGTACTTTTTCGACATTTTGGGAATTACAAATATTTAATTTCTTGCAGAGACTAATAGAAAATATGATTGATACCAGTCTCATGTCTAAATGCTAAATATTAAGCTACCGCCCAACAGCTGTCTGGGGTAGCTTAGCTCAAAACAGCTACATAGTTCTACCTGAAGGGAAACTGTCTTATTAGTTCTGAGATTAAGAAATGCCTCAAACCTAAACAACCGACATTAACTCCCAAAACGGCGATTATATTTAACATTGTTAGACGGTTACAGTTTTTGGAACTAGTTGATTATGTTTAGGCAAGAAAACTGGGCTAGGTTTAGCAAAAGATCAGTATAACTAAGTTTAACATACTAACATAGTTACGTGCATTTACGTACTAACATTACATGTTACTTGTTAGACACTTTTATCCAAAGTGACTTAAATACTCAATACTGTGGACAATCCCCACAGGAGCAATTTGGGGTGAAGTGTCTTGCCCAGGGACACAACGACATGCTGACTGCAGTGGGGTGAACCTGTGACCCCCTGCTCCCAACACCAAGGCTCTATCAACTGCGCCAGATGCCTCCTAACGTAGTCGTGTTGTCAATATGGGATTTTGGTTTCGGGATACAAAACCGTGGCCTCCTGCATGGATGTCAATGAGAGGTCGCCTCGTTATGTCAAATCTAAATATGGGTCGTGGATGGAGTATGGATATGTTGCTTGCAGTAGTTTGTTTTGGTGAGTGTAATCTAAAGGCATGTGTTCAGCATTCATTCCTGGCAAAAATCTGTTATTCCTAAATTAAAAGCTACAATCAACTGAGCATGAATTAACCTCTTAGCTATAGCAGTGGACTGATGAGACTTTTAACAGTCTCCTTGTCCCCAAAGGCCTCCAGCCTCTTTACCAACCATGTGGTCCCCTTCTTGGGTTGCAGTCTGTGGATAGTGAGACCACCCCACTGGGGAAAGGGGGCCAAGATGGCACATTGATCAAATATCAGCTAGACACTAGTATCCATTCTATAAACTGGGGGACATTTCTGCAGAGATTCAGGCCGATAAACATTCAGACTCCCTTCCCTGGTGACAACACACAGGAAGTGGGTCGTCGACGCTATTTTCTTCCTGCATTAGCCTTCAAAGCAGAACGAGGACACAGATAACAGCAAGTTATGGACACGCCGTGTGATCATGGATGCGGAAGGACAAGGGGGGGGCACTGTAATTAGCAGAGGGAAATCCTACACTAAACAATGATACAGTTTGAGGAGCCTTCATCAGGGAAGCTACACACAGGAACACACATTCTTTTCCTCAAACATCAGCTATTCCTAAAACAAAAAGCATGTTCTTTCATGTAAATCCCCCCCAATACTGTGAGCTCCACATGAGCGTTCATGTCTTGGTGATAAGCACCCATAAGTGTTACAGGCCAATGAACACCTTTATTGTGAAACACAAACCAACTTGTTTCTCTGCTGAATGTAATGGCCTCAGGATAGGTGGAAAGAAAGTAGAGCGGGCTATGGAAAGGCTTTCTGTGCATTCCAAAATGCATACACCAAAGAACCCTGAACCCTCTGAAACTGCTTTTATAAAAACAATTACAAAGCCTCATTTCCCACGTGACCTTAAAATACACTTCAGATTCTGTCTTAAACTCCACAGAAAAGGCAAGCCCCAGATGAGTTGTGGGCTTGTGTTTTAGAGGTTTACATGAAACAAAAATGCAAGTTCCTCTCAAATCACAGGAATCATGACATTTCTATATTATTCAATTATGCATTTTCTATCATATTTGAGTCAAAATTGGAGAATGAACCTTACAATAATTGTATGTTTCAAGGTTTTAGATTGACAGCCAGAAAAGCATATTAAATAGAGAATGAGTGTGTTAATAAAATACACTTACATGTACGTGTATTTTATTAACACACATATTCTCTGAAAAAACTGGAAATCTGAGGTGTACAAATATAGGCTCTAGAGTCTAGAGCCTATATTTGTACACCTCAGATTTCCTGTTTTACACACATTTTTGTACTGAACAAGGTAGTAGCCTAACTTCTGCACAGTCAAACGATAAAGATAATTATATTATTGGCACAGGTCGTCAATTATGCAGAAATACACATTTAAAAAAACGCATCGCTGCTTTTCAACAGGTGTTTGCTCGAGAGGAACTACTTTATTGTCTTGTAAAAAGGGAAGTATATGATTTTACAAGAAGTGTATCGGGTCACAGGTGTTAACCGCAATATACTCCAAACCTTCATCGGGGGGTTTTGCGCAGTAAGTAGGCGCAATGAGCTTCTCTGAGGCAGAGAATAAAATGGCTTTTTCCTTACGCCACCTGGTCTAAAGCAGGTGCGTAGCCTGCGTATTATAACCTTAAAACGGAGAAAGAAGTGTTCTTAGACATGCACAGCTGATTACTTACAGGTACTTGTTGGGGACTCCCTGCTGTTCGTGTAGAGCGACTGAGAATCCAAACAAGCTGCCTTTGGTTTTCCCCTCTTTGATCACGGGAAACCGCTCATCTATGTTAAATCCACAGCAGGTTCTTGTCCCTTGGTACACAGCCAACACCGCGCAGAGGAACAGTCTGGGGGACATGGTGGCGCTTTTCATGCCGCGTAAGTGCACTTGGTTCCCCGCAGATCCACGATCAGCGTGAGTCCGACACGTCTCCCGCAATGAGCTCCAACAGGTAGACTGCTTCACACAGACCTGCCCATCGAGAGCCGGCTGCTGCGCCCCCCCCCCCTCCTCCTCTGTGTGAGTGCTGAGGTGTCGGTGTCTGCCTCCCTCTGCCTCTCTGCTGCCCTCCCCTGCTCTCCCTTCCTTCCTCTCTGCCCTCCACACACAGAAGAAACAAGTGCACTCCCTTCATTCACACAGTGTGGTTAGCAGGGGAAATTTGTCTCACCTTCCCCACCCCATCCTGTCTCTGTTTCTCTTTCACACACATATTTTGCTTTCCACCTGTTGTGCTTGTAAACTTCATACAACTGTGCACTTTTAAAAACAAAACAAAAAAGGCATTGGAGACTTTTCACAACTTATTGAAAATGTCTGTGCAATATATAACTTAGGGTTTAATTCTTGCCTTTTACAAACAGTCAATCGCTGCATTAATACCTTCATCAATACCTTCATTATAAAACAAAAACGTTTAGGGTACATATATAGAATTCAACTAAACTTTCTTCATTGAATAACATTCTACTCAACAATGGCATGTGCTTATTATTTTTCCTTGAAGTATTTTCCGAACCCTCCCCCCCCCCCAGAAAAGACTGGGGATTAGTTCGAAATGCACATTGGAGATTTTCTTGTAAGTAAGAGAAAAAGCTCTCAAAAAGGAAAAGAAACATATTGTCTGTTGAACTTGCAAACTTCATAAAACTGCATTTTTTAAGAAGAAAGAGCAATTGAAGCCTAGTCAGAAAAGACAGCCACTAGTTGAAAATGAACATAAGAGATTTTCATGAAGAGAAAATGCTCAAAAAGTATTCAAGTCATGTTTCTAAAAAAAAAGTCAGTTGACCTTTTGAACTTATCACCTGCAAAAAAGAGCACTATCTGTTTCGTAGGTCTACGTCCTACGCTGTAAAATGTATTATCTCCTACACACGGCATCTATTGCACGTCTGTCCGTCCTGAGAGAGGGATCCCTCCTCTGTTGCTCTCCCTGAGGTTTCTCCCATTTTTCTCCTTTAAACTGTGGGTCTTTTCTTTGGAAGTTTTTCCTTGTACGATGTGGGGGTCTAAGGACAGAGGGTGTCGTTTTCTCATACTGATATTCTGCACAAACTGTGCTGTTATATTAGATGTAAGTGTCCTTACTCTAAGGTCATCATTAAATGTACAACACTTTGGCTCGACCAAAAATCGTTTTAAAAATGTGCTATATAAATAAAAGTTGATTTGATTTGAAACTTGAAAACACACATAAATCATGTTAGCCATTGAGTGCTTAGTGCAGGATATAATGTGAAGGAGGGACTATGTTATAAAAGTCAGGCCTCCTGTCAGAACTCCCTAATAGACGGCCTCACATGAGCCCTCTTGTGACGGCCACCCCCTGCCTCGCTCCACTGCCTATCGCCCAGACGTATGGCTTCCAATGAGCAATTCATTAAATCGTTAATCCCCTTAGAGAGTTCACAGAACAGGCCAGAGTTCTTTAAAGCATCCTCTCCTCCAGCATGACTCTTTCCTCCCCCCCCCCCC